TCTCTAGAGGTCCCTTCCAAACCCTCCCACTCTGTGAATTCACTAGAATGGCATTCCAAAATGTTTCATCCGACCCATCTGAAGACAGTGTCACAAGCAATGGAGACTCACATCAATATCCAGACAGTAGCCAGCCATCCCATTTCAGACTCAGTTGCCCACCAGAACATTATGCAGAAGTTGCTAATAAACTCTCAATGTCTGTACAACATACCCACAGTCCCAAGTACCACTTATTCATAGTTATGCCAAGGTTCTGCAACATACTAAAGAGTATGATACATCTGCTAGTGCTTAAATAAAATGAGAGCTGCATTTGGTACCAATTGTGAAGCTGATTATATTACCTATATTTCTGCATGGCAAAAGCTGCTTAAGTTCAAAATGCTCAAGTTAACTGAGAAACAGGAAATATCTTGAGGCATCAGTGCCTCTAGAAATTTAATTGCTCAAGTGAAGAACAACTGGTCTGTGAGCAGATGCAGTATGAAGTCAGCATTAATTAATTCAGTTAAAACATTACAAGGGAGTAAGCTGCACAACAAAACCAAAATCTTCTGAAGAAAAAACTCACTTTAAAAAATCAGTTTGTGTGTGTTCAACATACAGAACAGCAAAACTTATGGTAGAGTAACATTATAGCAATGATGCTTTTATTTCCACTTGAGTACTAACCCCTTAACATGGAAATAGATTTTTAAAACTTTTCTGGGCTGGAACAGCTTTGTATGTGTTTATACAGCACTTAAATATGTGATGTTGTTTCTAAACTCAAACAATCATAATACATACGGACAGCTACAAAAACACAGAAAATACATCGGCCATAATCTCTAACAGCAAACAGAATCACACCGCTTTTGGCAGATGAGAATTCACGCTCGCATAACAGACTTTAAACACAACTGTCATTCCCTTCTCCAACTGTTTCCGGATAAATAAGACAACACCACAGCAAACAGAAATTCCATTCAAGATTCCCAAGCCATGGTAGTTGAAACAATACGTGGTATACATCTCTAAGATAATGTTTTTAAGGGAAGAAATAAGGCTTCATCTAAACACTATACATTATTAGAAAACAAGAAAGTACTAGCAGAAGACTGAAGTACAAGAGCAGAACCCTTTCAAGCATATATTTTTGTGCTATGGTTCAAATTTTCAGTAAGTACTATTACTGTCCCAAATCCCAAGACTGTTTATTCCTAGCAATTCTTCTACAGAGAGCCCCTGAACACTTTATAGAGCGATGGTAACAGCATACTTAAAAACATATACAGACATATGTACAGAAGCATGTTTTCAGTCCTCTCTTTAAGACGACTCTAAGCAAAGCAGAGTGAAATGAATGAATATTGGATGTCAGTAGAACTCTGTCTGCTTCTAAGTAATTTTGAGTCATGACGTGATGGATTCATTCTAAATATCTCATGCATACACCGAGGTAGGTCACTGTATTTTACCCATAACTAAGCACCTGAGCATAGCCCCAGCAAACCCAGCATAATTTCTAGATGCATCAGTAACAGAGATGTACTTTGTGAATATCGGAAAGGAGTTCTTCATTTCTAAAAAACAGAAACCCTGATACTGATGTCAATGATGAAGCTTTGACTACAGCAGAGTTCACTTTGCTCACCAGAGGTTGCTTCTTTTTCAGTGATTCATAAGAGGCACAGCCTCTGTTCTTCATTTTAATAGTTTTTTATAATGATAACTGCTTAAAATGAAATGTGCTTAGTATTCTGCATAGCAGTTGCAAATGAGGATATTGGTCCCAACACAATATAGGTTAGTACTTGTCTCCTTGAAGCTTAAGGAGTATGGAAAAACAAAAGATGTTACTGCAGTATCACTTGTAGAAAGAGACACCAGAGATGAGGTTAATTGTACGTAATAATTCAAGAGCTATATGGCACTTCAGATCTTCTGAAAAAGTATGACACTCATCAAGGCAGGGTACACCAAATTTAGCCAAGTATCCTGGGCATACAGTGCACTATTCTTTCCAGTCTGAGCAGGCACTCAGACAGGGCAACACACTTGAGGTACAAAATAGCATGCCAGGAACAAAAAACTTGCAAGGGCAAGGGAAGTTTCCCAGCCCAGTAGCTGCAGAACTAAGGTGAATTTGTCTACAGCACTACTGTATCAAATTGAAGATGAATCTGTCCAGAAACTGGCTCTCCCAGTTATACATTGAGTGAATGCCATTTCCAGTAAGGGCACAACAGCAGGAACAGAGTTTCGTAATGACAAGTTTCCCTGCATGAACTAGTATTCAACGATATCCCACAGCAGAAAGGGGGATAGGTGGGCTGGCAGCAGGGGGGGCAACAGAAAGGAAAAAATGCTGTTGGGGGCTTTATGAAAACATGTAAGCAAACAGCATATGTGAACAAATCACTACCCTGGGAGAGGAAACAGACCTGCTCTCTTCAACAGATTACCACTGTATGGCTGCTTTGGGTGTAGCGCAAGAAGTTCCACTGACAGAAAACAAATGTGATGACAACCAAAGACACAAAAAAAATATATTGCAAATGGCACTCAAAGAAGGATCAATGCTACTCTGCTATAGGCTTCAGTTCTCTGCAAGTACTAAGTGCCAGGAAATGAGCAGCAAACATGAAAACCTTTATCTTGAAGACGAGTGCCTTAACATCACCGTCATCACAATGCTAAGATTCCAGCAACAGATGCAGATGCAGCAACTCTGCAGAGCCAGCCATGTCCTATTATCACATTACTTTTTACATCAAACAACTGAGGTCTTAGAATGTGAGTGGAGGCTAAGGGTGTCAATGACATATAAACCTTGACATGCTGCTTTGGGCTGAGAAACTTCAAGAATGTTGTGAAGCCTGAATCTTCCTGATTTCCCATGAAGTATCTCTAGAAAATAAAAACAGGCTAAACCTCCTAGTCTTCCAGAACGTTATGTTATAGAAGGACTAGTAGCTTTGATAAGCTCATAGTAAATAAAACAATCTTCAGACAGTTCAGTTCCGGACTAGGCATCTACCTCCCTGAACGTGCTACTATTTAAAATAGAGAGTAAGATAAATATCTCATTTAGATCATTATATTTAAGGTCTTCTTTTCTCAGTATTTAGTTATAATTACATGTGGGCAATTTTTACTGGTATCTCTACATGCATGGAGCAGTGAGTCAAAAACTCAAATATTTGAATTCTAAAACAATTGAAGGATCTGAGGACAATATCAGCACCACAGCATTTAGCGCTGGAGTTAGTCCCCACTTTGCAAAAACTAGAGAAGTTTTTCTTATGCCAACTTAATCCTTAAACTGCCCAGTACACAACTCCTTGTACTTCTCTAAAACAAGCAGTAATTACCACAATAAGTAAAATATTAACACTAAATGGGTGTGTGAACTAATTGTTATTTACCATTACCTATCATCACGACATGAATTCGGTACTGAAGTCAAGCATGAAAAAGGCTAACCAGTAAAGGAAGTCTTTTTAAACAGTGCTAGAAAAGAAAAAAGTTCACACCAAACTTTTTGGAAAAGTTTTCTGCAAAATCTTTCCATATCCACTAGTAGCCACACTTTTATCAAAAAGAAATGCTGTTCTGTGTACAGAAGACACACACCAAGTGCAAGTGGTATCTTTCATTGCAGCTTGTAAGATAATAAGATAGTGCCCTTGAAAAGTTTTTATGTCTATGAGAAACATTAAGTTAATCAAAAGAATGCAAGATGCAGGCATCACTTTTTCTCTTCAACAGGAAATACCGTAAACACTGTCATTTTTGATGTACTTAAAGAAATTTACTTACAGACTTCGAAGCAGTGCTAATGTACTGCATCACCATTTCTTTTTTGGTATGAAAATCCTTTTCTCTCAGTGGCATCTTCTTGTCTTCATTTAAATTCATATCTTCCTAGAATGGGAGAAGGAAAAAAAAGGAAAATAAAATCTACATGTCATCCAGCACAGCTGTTTAACTACAAGAGACTGATTAAAAAATAGACGCAAATATGAACTTGAGTAACTGAAATCTGTTATACAAACAACTTTTCATAAGTTTGATGTTATTCAAAACCATAAAAATCTTTACCCATCTTCCCTAGCAAACCAGGCATTAAAAAAAAAAGTCAACTCTTCCAGGATAAACAAGCGCATCACAACCATTACTAGCATATCCCTTCTTAGAAATCACCTACAGTTTCAAACATGCACTAAACCACAGAAAAGCATTATTTAACACTGCCTAAAACATTTATAAATGTACTCAAACTTGTCTCTTAGAACTATCACTTTAATGATATATTCATTTGTTCTATAATTCTGTTGCTCAGTTCCCAAACACTTAATCCTGGGGAGCGGAACCTGCTTTTCCCTAAAAGTAGTTCACAAAATAATAATCACCTTTGCAATAGGTAAGGCCCACATTCTTGACAATTTCATCATTAAATCAGCACCTTCAGCTTATCCAAACCCCATCACAATTCATTCATTCCAACATAAACCCAGAGGTCAAAAAGAGCAGATGCAGAACCACATTCAAAGCCACACAGCAGCTCCTCATTGACATTTCTGACACAGAGGTTTCTCCTGTTCCAGACTAGAAATGCTCTGATCATTGTAATCACTTCCACATCTGTGAGAAATTACATTCCTACCATGCTGCAGGTAAAAAAAAGTCTTTAAGAAACAATTTAGGCACACATACGCACACATACAGGTTCACTATGGTCACCCAAG